TCTTGGCTTTTGTATGGACAAATTCAAGATAGATGGCGAATTGATAAAAAGACTTCTTTTGCTTCTGAAGATGGGATTTTTTTGAAGCAAGTAAGAGATGGTGTTAAAGGTCATATTAAGAGGATATATAATGTTTTATTAGAATTGGACTCAGAAACTGAATTAGTTAAAGATTGTATGATTAAGTGGGCTCAAAATACAGGAGAAACAATACCTATGGATACTTGGGAGTTGATCTGGGTGAGAAATGTGAAGTTCACACAAGCACAAAATTTACGTGAAAATTTTTATAAGATGTTTTATAGATGGCACCTGGATCCCTCAACTATGTCTCGTATTTATCCGAATTATGAATCCAAGTGTTGGAGATGTGGTCATCCAGATGCAACTTTTTTCCACATGTGGTGGACTTGTAAGATTATTAAGGCTTTTTGGATACAATTATGGTGGAACCTACAACAGATTTTTAAAAAAAGGATTATTTTTCTACCACAGTTGTTCCTTTTAGGTATTGTGCAGAATTTAGATGTAAGAGAGACAAATTTGATGCTTTATTGTTTATCTGCTGCTAGACTGTTAATAGCCCAAAACTGGAAGAGCCCAATTCTGCCAACGATGGGAGACTGGAGATTGAAAGTTTCGTATCTTGCTGAAATGGCAAAGATTTCGGCTTATTTGAAGAACCACTCGAATGAACAATTTTTATCAATATGGGGAAGATGGACTGTTTATATTCAAAAGAAACATAAAGTGGTAGAATATAGGTTAGGTTTTTAATTTTGCAAGTTGGTTTATTTCTACTATCTTTTCTTGTAGATTAAGATATTTTGTAGAGTTAGAGATATTAGTATTTGTTTACTTTCATATGAATATTATCCTGGGATTAGGTTTGGGGAGTCCGGGGGGGGGGTATTGTTATTGTGTTTACTTATGATTGTTTTTTATGATTGAAAAAAATAAAATTTCTTTGAAAAAAAAAAAAAGATGTGAAAGGTGATAAGAAAAATGGGAATCCGAAAACATCCCATTGTCCTCATGAGAAACAAGTATACAAGTCAAGAAACCACAGTACAGACAGAACATGGTGAAACAGACTGGCTCCAAGTTGGCAAAGGTATGAAATAAGATTGTATACCAGGGGTCCCCAACCCCTGGATCCCGGCCCACTACTGGCACACAAAGCTCCATTTGTGCGCGCCCACCGCTTACATGAATGGAATTGCGCAGGCTCGTGTGCAACACCTGCCACTCACATGGAATCATCCCCTCTCCTGCCCCCCACCAGTCTTCCAAGCCAGAAAGGTTGGGGCCCGCTGTTGTATGCTCTTCCCTTATTTATTCAATTCATATGGCTGAATATATATTAAAGGAAACTAGATTGGAAGAAGATGAACATAGTTTTAAAAATGGAGGAAAAATATCAATGATGTATGCTATGCTGATGACACTACTCTGATGCAAAGGATTTGCAAGAATCAGTGCTATAAGTCAAAGAGCACAGTGAAAAATTGGGAGTAAAATTAAATGGAAAAAAAAGACGAAACTAATGATAAGTAAACCAACCAACGGATCATTGAACAAATCAATCTAGAGTTCTCACTTGAGGCACAAATGAACAGGCTCAAATGACTCTATTTTGAAAAACTTTCTCCCGTAGCACTCAGATTATGTCACCCAATAACTGTCCCCTTCACAACCTCTCTTATTTTCAGATTTTTTTAAAGTGATTTCAAACATACATATTTACAGTTACCATTAAGACTTACCAAGACTAAATGTTATTAAGATAGGAGAGAAATGAAAAAAAGAAATAGTTTAATTTTTATTTGAAGCAGTTTGTGGTATTGGATCTGATTCAGCTCCTGAAAGAAGCCTATTCCAACTGGAACACTGTTGACTATGTTCAGTTCAGGGGGTTCACTTCTGGAAAACTACTAAATCATTGCCTGAATGGCTGGATCAGCATCATCAGGAGTTGTTATAGTGAGGAAAACAGGAGGAAGGACATTATGTACACTGCCTTCGATGTACACAAAATGAAGGTAGAATATACATCTAATAAACAAGTCATTCCTGAAATGATAGATACTGCACTTATTTAAAAAGTAGGCAACCTTGGCTCTTTTACGACTCGTGGACTTCAACTCCCAGAATTCCTGAGCCAGCCCTGGCCTATACCATTCCAGACAAATGGCTGTCCAGTCTCTTCTTAAAAACCTCCAGTGATGGAGCACCCACTGCTTCTGAAGGCAAACCGGGCCACTGATTAATTGTTCTAACTGCCAGAAATTTCTCCTTAGTTCTAGGTTGGTTCTCTACGTGATGATTCAGGTGCTTGGCAGCTGGCATATATTTTCAACGGTTGCAGCTTCCCGAAATCACATGATCCCCATTTGTGATCTACCAACCGGCTTCTGAAAAGCAACATCAATGGGGCAAGCAAGCAAGGAAGGTCACAAATAGCAAACATGTGATGTTCCGCTTAATGGTTGCCGGAAAAATAACATAAAACCATGTACAGTACAGTCTCATGATGCCTCACTTAACAACTGCATTTCCAAATATGGATGGGGGGCGGGAATTTGGTTGAGATGGCCCAGTGGTAAATTTCAGCATTTGGCTATTTCTTATATAGCAAGAGTTCACCTAGTACTCTTCCATTAACTTACTAGGTACAGCAGTGTTAAGTAAGATAATCTTTCCATATCTCATTCTCATCTGAGACCCAAAGGAATCAAATATTTTGAGAATTAAAAATTACAGCTAGAAAAAAATATTTAAAATTGCTTTGAATGACTGAAAGTGATTTATGGCTCTATAGATTTACACTTCCTGAAAGAGCTAATTTTGCAGATCCATGACATTGTAAGAAATAATTGTTTAGCTCACATGAACAGGACATGGAAACGTAGCTCTTTGTTCTGTACTTGTTCGGTGTCTGTCACTAAGCAGAATTTTTATGTATCTTAATGTATAAGAATGTGCAAATTGCAAAAAGAACCATCTGGATTCTCAACACAGCATTGCCTATTGCGGTTCTAGCATACTTATAGCTTTGGCTTACCTGATGTGACCAATCAGCTCAATCAGCTTGTGGCTGAAGAAATATGCAGTCAGTTCAGAGATGTGACTTAAAACAGAGCAAACTCCAAAAAGCGTGGTGGTGCCATTCAGATCTTCCAGGTGCCAATAAAGGAAGGTGAACACAAAGCCATATCCAAAACCCATAAACCATGCCACAAACAGCACTGAGCCATATTGGATAGTGCAGAGCAGCTTAATCAAGTCCCAAAAACTGAAAGACTGGGACTGGCTTGTATCACTCTGAGTGTCATGGGAGGAATCTGTGGAGGAATTTCTGTCCACGCCGGAATCCTCTGGCTCAGTGCTTTGGTTTTCCTCTTGCTTGTAGTGATTGTACCGGAACCTGAACTGGGTGGCCACAATCAAAGAGAGTGTCATCAAGACTCCAAAGACTATGAAAACAATCCTGTAGTTCTTGTAGTCTGGAGCCTTACAGCCTTGGCCTTCAATGAGCACATCAATACGGGTAGAGTCAATGCCAATGCCTACCGACAGCATGGCCAGTCCCCAGCCCAGAGATCCCCACATTCGTTGTAGCCCATAACGGTCCCGGTGTTTGCCAAGATACTGCAGTGTCACGGTGTCCACTATAGTGACTGAGGAGGCACTGAAAAACTCTCCCACAATCACAACAAGGAGGATGAGCAAGAAGATCGCTTCAACCTCCTGATGATCATATACAAGAGTAAAATGGGCAGGAGGGGCTGTTTTTGTAGTGACTGCAGGTGATGCTGTGGTGTGGCTGGTGTTTCCCAACAGACCCGCAGTAACAATACCTTTTGGTGCACTGGCAACAGTTGCACCCTCTTCTTTTAAAGCATGCTTCCTAGCTCCATTTTGAATAGTTGGAGAAAAGGTTTTTGAATTCGTGGGCAAAGCTGAGCTCAGAGTTGGCAAGCTGTAAGTCAGCAAATCTCTTTTCCCTCGACCTTTTGTTATCGTACTTCCCAGAGTGGGCATGATGGAAGAAATGGAGATATTTTGCGGGGATGCTGCTGTAAGGTGGCTGGCATTGGTAGGGAGAACGGGGATAGGTTTCTTTATTACACACCTTAAGGTTGCTGGCTTAACAAATCCAATTCCCACGTTAAACAGCACCCAGCATAATAGGGAGAAGAGAAGAACAACTTTCCCCTTTTTAAAGCGATCTGCTACCACTCCCCAAAACGGAGCACTGCAAAATTCAATGAAGTATCTAATCCCTACCAGGAGTCCACTCTGGCTGGGAGTCATGCCTAGTTGTTTGTAGTATACAGGAAGCAATGGGTACAGGGAACCATAAGCAGCATAAAAGAAAAAATAAAAAACTTTTGAGATCAAGAGATCATTATTCACTTTCACGCAGTGTCTTTCAAGCCAATCAAGCTCTTCGTCTGGAATAGTAGTGGTCTCAGTTGAAGGAGTATCACTTTGGCTTTGGAGGTCTTGCTCCTTAGGAATCTCACTGAAAGGGTCAGCAAGCACATATTTTCTCTTCTGCTCTTCTTCATCATCAGTTAAGATGGCTACTTTATCATTGGTTGCCATGGTTTCACTGTAAGCATGAGATATGCATGTGATTCTCCAGACTTCAGTTCAAGGAGCCTGTAGACACAAAAAAAGTCAGCAGTTATAATAGGACAGTACTTAAAAGATTTGAGGGGAAGAATGGTATCATTTCAAAGACTAAAATATTTCACTTCTTGCTATGACCTACATATATAAGATCTGAATTGATCTGAGATCAGTACCACTCCTAGATCTCCACGATCCAGTGGTGGGATTCAAATTTGTGAACAACCGGTTCTCTGTGTGGATGCCACTTCTGGAAGTCCATTCTGGACCTGGGCAACAAAAAATTAGCTACCGGTTCAGCCAAACTGGTGCGAACCTGCTGAATCCCACCACTGCCATGATCTTATGTGTCACCTGGAAATCATCTTGGCTGAGCCAGTTGACTTCTAACTTAGCTGATCCCCCAGAGGAAATATTGTGAAGATATTAATGTTGAGTTTCCTTCAAAAATGTAGGGTAGATAGCATCGAATCAGTAGGCATTCTCTCCTTGCTCCACTCCTGGGATGTCTCCAGTCTAGTCTCCTTGAGTCTAGCTATTATGCGCCTTTGCTATCCTTCCCTTTTCTGTTGTTTCTATTGGCTATTTTCTTCCCCACTTCCACATACAGTGGCTGGTGTGCAGAAACAAAAGCACCAGATGGAACATCACTTTTTGCATTTCCCATTGGCCAACTGAAAGGGGCACTAGTCTACACATAGGCAGCAGTATGAGGAGATATGGGGAGGGGGAGGCAAATGCAATTCTGAGACTATGGAAAACAGAAATCATGTGGTAGTTGCAAAGATAAGCATTAAACATGAACTTGTTTACCCAGTTGCTTCTTGAAGCCAAATTGTAGCAGTAAATACTGTAATCAGCACCTTGGAATTAGCTACCATTGTCTTCTAATAAGAGATCCTTGCAATATATAAAAGCATACAATCTCTTAATAAAATTTACCTTAGCTTGACAAAACATCAGTTCTGCTATACCACCAGTACCTTATTCCTTCTTAATCAAAACAGAGAAAATTGCATGCAGGCATAGCTTTGAATGAACAGAGAACTGGGAGTGAAAATGGAGTAGGAATGACCACAAACCAAGTTATTTAAAAATGGTCATGAACACTGAAAATAAAGTCATCTGATCATTTGATAGGAAGTGAAAAGCCAGCCCCCTGACCCAGAGCCAAGGAACCTTTCATAAATTTATTTTATTTTAAAACGTTTAGCCGCTTTGTGGATGGATGGTGCTTTAGACAAAAAGAGCATCCCTTTTCTTGGCTCAGCAAAAGATTTATTGTGAAGTACACACACACACACACACACACACACACACACAGGTATCTATATTATCACAAAACCAGATCAAACAATTTGAATTCCAAAAATAGATGTATTATCCCATAAGGCTTTGTTAGCAAGTTAATTCATATTCTTAAATGACCATGTCAGCTATTTCTCAATGAAACTGATCTTTGTTGTTCCTTAATGTTCCCCTGCTAATTTTAGAATATTATCATTCCTGACATCAGATGTGCGGTGATGCTGCTGAAGATAAATGTGCACAGACTGGCTAATTCATCAAATATAAATTATAAACTGATATAACCGAGACTATTTTAGCAGCCCCCATATAACCATTTGGAAGAATACAAATAATTATTTCAGCAGACATTTTACCTTGCAGCTATGTAGAAGGATGGAGGACTCTCCATTTAGTGCTTGGGAGGGAGAATACAGTTGAGGTTATCATTCATAATTTACTAGGAGTGATAAATTATATGATATAGTACTCTATGCTATGGTGAGTGACGCACACACAAATTCCTTTTTAGGTTACACTTATATTTTAGGCACTAGACTAGAACGTCTTTCTCACTCTGGTGCACTCTGCAATTTATCTTGGACCACAGCATGTACAACTCTTAGATAACATGGTTATATCGATGAAAGAATTCCGTAGTCCTTTTTAAATAATTCATAAGACTGCAGTGATCAATCATCTGTTTTAAAATGTTGGGCTGGTATTTTTAAAGCATTTACCTTATTAGCATCACCCAACAACGTATTTCAGCCAGGAACAATTTTAATACTTACACCAGTCACAAAAGTAAATTAACTATTGGTGTAATTTTTAAAATGTTAGGAATATTGCAATACATATGCACGATCCATTGGAAAAAATACTTTAAGATATTGCTACCTCCTACTTCTAAAAAAACAAAGAAATAATGCAAAGTATGATGACCATTATTATTATGACCCACAAAGGTTATGTAAAATCAATGTATTCATCTGCAAAAGAACTGAGCTTATATCAGCTGCTATCTACATAGCAATTTCCTTGGCTTTTTGACCACAGAAAAACCTAGGTGGTCAATTAGCCAGTCTACAGAAAATTAATCAACGTATCAGTTGAACAATAATTTAAGCTAAAAAGTCTATTAGAAAGCTGAGCTACCGTATCAACTGTTTATTTTTCATGAGTATTCATTATTCCAGGATGTCTTATTCTTTTTATTTTTCTATTCATCCATCTCAGTTGTTATCAATAAGGGTCTGGCTTGGTACGTATGCTGCAATATGAAAGTGTAAAAGAAAGACACATTTCCAGATGCTTGTCTACAGAGATATGACTGACTTCAACTAATGGATGGATGCTGCTCAGATAAAGAAAATGATGACATTTAACAGAAAAGCATTTAGCATTCGGTGCTTGAACAGACCTCCAGCTTACACTTTAGTGCCATTATGGACCTCAGAGGAAGAATACTTGCTGTTAAACCATGTGATACGGGCTTGACATTAACCCCATCACTTAGCTGAAGGGAAGGGAATAAATCTAGGCTGAAAGACATTCACCATTAGAGCTCCTATTATTAGGGAGAGATGGATTGCATCAGAGAGCCACTTGAAACTCAGGAGGGAATTCAGGTAGGAGCCCCTCCCTTTCCTAGAAATAATTCTATTATTTCTATTTCCAATTGTGGGATGCAATTGGCTCAACCAGAAATNCACTTAGCTGAAGGGAAGGGAATAAATCTAGGCTGAAAGACATTCACCATTAGAGCTCCTATTATTAGGGAGAGATGGATTGCATCAGAGAGCCACTTGAAACTCAGGAGGGAATTCAGGTAGGAGCCCCTCCCTTTCCTAGAAATAATTCTATTATTTCTATTTCCAATTGTGGGATGCAATTGGCTCAACCAGAAATAATGCATTTTGTCCCCTTGGTGCCCCATTTTTTTCTAGTTTGTCACTGCATGGCAATACAGTTCATGATTTCTCCCTGGGGAATGAAAAAAAGGAGCCAGGTGGCTGACACAACCATTGACTTCGAAGGATGCGCCTTTGCTACTGGGTTTCATCACAATTATCAAACCCCTTCTATTTCAGTCACTGGAAAATTCCCTAAAGGCATCCTTTCCATTTGCCTACTAAGACCATATTAACTGGTTGGGAGCTTTAGTGAAAGCAGGAAGGGATCTTGCATAACGGAAGTAAAAAGTCAGTACAGGTAGTCCTTGACTTACAACAGTCCACTGAGTGGCCGTTCAAAGTTACAACATCATTGAAAAAAGCGACTTATGACCGTTTTTCACAGTCACAAACTTTGCAGCATCCCCACGATCAAAATTCAGATGCTTGGCGACTGGTTCATACTTATGACCGTTGCACCGTCCCAGGGTCATGTGATCACTTTTTGCAACCTTCTGACAAGCAAAGTCAATGGGAAGCCAGATTCACTTAACAGCCGGGTTACTAACTTATCAACTGCTGTGATTCACTTAACAACTGTGGCAAGAAATATCGTAAAAATGGGGCAAAATTCACTTAAGAAATGTCTTACTTAACAACAGAAATTTTGGGCTCAATTATGGTCGTCAGTCAAGGAGTACCTTGTATTGAAAGAAACAAGAAAGTAAACAAGAGAAATTCTGCAAATATGAAATCTTCTTACATCAGCATAACTCTGTCCACGAAATTACCAAAAGTTCAGATAACCCCTGAAGGCGGCTTTATGATTTCTTGCTGAACAAATTGGAGGAAGAGAGCTATATTGGTTTAAGGTAGCTTTCATAAGCTTATGCCTTTTAATAAAATAGGTTGGTTTGAAAAAGTCTCCCAGATTCCTTTGGATTTTTATTATTTTTGTAGTTTTCCCAGATTTTCCTACATAATGAAGAAGGAAGTAACATTTCCCTTTTAGAACCTGCACTACTTAGCTGCATTAATACAGGCTGCATAAATTTGTCCATGAATCAAAACTTTGGTTTAATGCAAGCGCAGGATTCTGCAGAGAGACACTGAATTATTTTAACTATTAAAGAAGAGGCTGTCTCACCTATTAATTGTAGCCACAGAGATAATTAAAATGCTGGCACTTTTAATCCGTCCTTTCAGTTCTATTAGAAAAGATTGAATAACTGAACTGTGTTTTCTCAAAAAAAAAAAAAAAAAAGAGGAAACCTTTTTTTCCTCAGTAAAGTTTTGGTGGGGCTAAGTATAAACAACTAAATGTACAGTGAAAAGTATAAACATCTACATATAAAAGTCTTCAGTTGACACTAACAAACCATTAAACCGAAAGATTAGATAAATGAAAGCTTGGGAGGAGGAAGGGATAAAATTTGGAGGGAAGATTGATAAAAATACACAAGATGGTTTGTTTGCTAATGAAGAGGAAACATAGGGGGCATGTTTCAGAAAAGGCACTGAAACCCTTTAGTTGAGCACAATCATTCCTTGAAGAACATTTTCTACATAGGATTGAGATTCCCATCCTGAAGACCTCTTGGAAGCCTAAGATACATTTCTGCTACTTAGAGCCATTGTTGTTTTCATGAGAAACAGAAGAAAAGATTCACCTTACTGAGCTTCACTGAGATTGGTAGAATTTTTCTTACCCCCATGGCAATTGGACCAGACTACAAAGAGTAAAAAAATACAGAATAAAGGGTAATATCCCTTTTTTCATTCAGAACAAAAAACAGCTGGCCTGAGATGTA